TTTCTACAACTTTGTTATTAACCATTTTTACAGTACACATCAGTTTCAACATGCAAATCCTCACACTCTAGAATCAGTCCGGAAATGACTTAACATGCAACATAAAGTAAGAATACTTCTACTTCAGGTAATCATTCAAAATTTGACAACCTAGAACCTACCAATAGTTTAAACATACCAAATACAGTTAAGATGATATAATGGTAAAGCCCAAACTATTTATTAAATTGCCTTTATTATTTTATTTAGATACCTAGGTTAAATAATAAATATATATCAGATGTGCTTAATAAATTCTCAAAATTTACAGAGCTTTACTAATGCTATCAAGAGACTACTGTAAAAATTTCATGTCATTTTACCAAGTAGAACATTCTATACAAAATGACAAAGGCAGCAAGGCTTGAAATAGCATAAATGGAAAACCCTATTGAAAAGTGTCAAGCAACAGATTTCATATTTTTCTTAGCATCCATATGGTACTAGGATTACCTCCAATAAATTTCATGAATTTTGGACTCATACTTAATTTATGAAAATTCATGCAAGGATTAACTAGTCATAAAAGAAAAATCTCTAACTTTAAATCTACCCATGCACTGGTCCTCAAATTTTACCAGAGTTCACACATGCTAAGATTAGTCCACCACAAAATTTCATAATTTTTGGAGCACAGGAACTCTAGATATAAAATAAACAAATTTGAATGCATTCAAAAGCACATTTGAAATCCCTATTTAAATCTCAAGAAATTTCTACTGTTGAAACCAAGAACATATTTTTCCAAAATACTACACTTCCTAAGCAACACAATCATATTTATTTCACCATTTTAGGAGCTACCAAACTAAAGATACAAAAATAACAAAACAAATCAAAAACTGGATTCAAAATGAGTTAGCCTACACTACTTCTGTCGCTGACAGGTGGGACCCGCTGGTCAGGGGACCCCACGCGTCAATGACACAGAGCAGGGCAGCGGCGCTGCGCGGTGCTGGCGCGGCCAGAGCTCGCCAACGGCGAACTCGCCGGCGGTGACATCATCACACGATGATCTACTCGACTTAGCGCAGATCGATTGAGCTACTTGGGTGGCTTTCTCATCGGAGCTAGCGGCTACTGGCGGCGGCCATGGCGGGTGGAGGTGCGGGTCGACGGTGAAACGCCGGTGTGGGCTACGGTGGTTCAAATCAACGCGTGGACAAGCATCTATGAACGCTGGGGACCTAGCGCTTAGCTACCGAGCGGGAGGAATATGTGGCGGCGCGTACCACGACGACGGGCTCACGGCGGAACTCCCATGAGCCCTATACGCGCTGCGGTGGCTTACCGGGCTTTGTCGCCGGGCACGGGAGAAACAATGGGGTCTTTGGGAGACGGTGGAGCTATCACGGTGGCGAAGGAGCAGCGAGGACGATTTGGTGACTCGCTATGGCGACGGCGGAGGTGCGGGCCGAGCTCTACTGTCATTGCCGGCGAGGAAGACGGAGTAGAAAATGGGAAATGAAGCTTGGGCGACTCGGCGCGAACGCAATGGGCGGGGTTAAGCCGCGCGCCGGCGCGTGGCGGCTCAAGGCGGTCAGGCGCTGGCGACGCACGGCCGTCGCCGGGGACACGCGCACGCAAACTCGCTCGGTCGGCCATTGAAGAACAGGCGTTCGATTAAATCGATCGTTCGATGGTCCGCCGACGGTAGCGTTTTCTCGTTGATTTACCGGCTAAACGGTGGCTCCTTCGTGCAAACTTATGAATAGAAGTTGTAGAACCATGTACCATCTCCAACTCTTGTTAAGGCAGCATACTCTAATTCGCAACCTAAACCGAGTAAAATCATGCTTAAAGTAGGCTTGTCAGTCGATGTGGTTTCACGACTTAGCAAATTTCGTTAAGTGTTGAAATCAGATTTTGATGATTCTTGTGATCCAATTTCAAACATGTTAGGAGCTGAATCATGTGATGACCCAAAAATAAAAGTTGTTCCTTATGTCAAACACTACAACATTGCTTTAGTGAACTCCTCTATGCAAGGTCTCTAACACCTAGTTCAACTTTAGTCAAACATGTCACTTTGAAATCATGATACATACACAAACCAGGGCTAAATGACCAAACTAGCCTTAGCACTAAATACCAAAGTTGTTCCTAATGATATCCTAAGCATGTTTAAACAATTTGCAAGGTCATTTAAGCATTTCATGTAGTAGTCACTCATATAGCTATTCAGGTCAACACATGAAATATCACTTAAGTGCTTGATCATGAAATGTGGCCTTCATGAACAATGTTTCTTTTGTTAACCTAAGTGTAGCTAAAGGGTTATAGTGACCAACATTACACACTAGCATTTATTTGCACATGATCATATGCATATGTTCCAAGAAATACGAGATAACAAGCAATGTTTCATATGTTTCGATCGAATGTTTCAATTGTAAATGATGATTTATGAATGCTTGATGCTCATGCTTATGTTATGCAAGTCAAGTTATGCAAGGCTAACACCCGAGGTGTTACAAAATTCCTCTTAGGTTCTACTGTACACAAAAAGTAGCTTTCCCCTAGTATAATTTCCACAACAGCTAGGGACTTGCTTCTACTGATTGTAGGATCGATATTTTTGCGAAAATTACCCACCTGCCACTAGTTATGTTGGGTATCAGTTCGTTCTTTCTCTCGATTCGCCTCCCTCATCCACGAGAATAGACAAGTGCAACTCCGGTCCGGTGGTGGCCCCTTCACCCGTGCCCTCCTCTCCAAATTGCCGGGCGGTGTGGCTCTGGGCCGCTTGCACCTCTGTCTCTCCCAGAGGTCCGAAGGGCGAGCACCGCCCCCCCGGCCCGGTGGCGAAAAGGCTCCACCCTGCATCCTTCATGGCCTTCTCTGCATGTTGTGGTTAACATGTGAGGCCCATCGACAACAGTTTTTCTAAGAAGCCATAACTATTTAAACCAAACAGCTTTCGGCTTTCTCACAACTCACAACCTATAACACTTTTTCAAAGACCACAGCTCACAATAACTACTTTTCAGAAGCCACAGCTCAACCAAATAGTAAGCTGAGACTCGATCGACTGAGGTCAAGCTACTACCAAAACTTTATTCAAAGGCCACCGACTGGCGACTCGGCAAGGAGCATATGAGTCTTGATGATTTCACTAGAGCCCCTGTTTTATCGTTAGGTATACATGCATAACAATCCGACCTTATCTTGATGCAAAATATCTACCTATTCATTTTTCAACTCCATTATATATAATAGGCAGCTCTGTCTTATAGTAGCGCAAAGATCAACTAGGAATTGAAAAAAAAATGGGGACAGCTTCCAACCTCATACAGACAAGTCACAACGCATTGCTCGGGCCAAGTTTATGTTTAACACGGGCTAATAAGAAATATTTCGAACACACAACCCTTGGAATCACTAGAGGTCGACTGGAGCTTGTACTCATGGAGCTCGAGGCTGGCTGGCTGGCTGGTGCCTGACGACCCAAACTGCGCGTGGGCTCGATGTCATCCACGCTAGATGAGAGCCGCAATGATTCCCCTCTCCGTGAACCGGTTTTGCCCCGTGGAAGGAAAACCTTACGACGTCACTCCCAGGTCCTGCAGGTGGTAGCCCACCAATTCCAAAAGCATTTGCATTTCATCGTGTTGGGATCGGTAAACAGTGCAGTAGCCTGACTTGAGGGCAGTGCAGGTAGAATTGAACTGTTACTCCGTACCTCAGTTCGGTTGGGCAGGCGGGTAACTTGTCGCAGTAAAACTGTCAGTTACTGGTGGTGAGTAGGAGTACGCAGTAGTACAGTACTACTCCTACGCTGCTCTGCTGTGCATGCATGCACCCGTCCTCCGAATCAAAAGGGTGCACGTGGGGATGGAAGGCGTTGGCATAGGATGCGGGTCGCTGCGCATGTGTTTCAGCGCCACGACGGCTGCTGCGGCGCATGGGTTTCAGCGCTCGATTCCGCGGGCAGCTAGCCGGGCGTCAGCGTCAGCCAGCTTTCATTTACTACTGCCCACGCAGACGGCGCCGGGACCAGCTCCATGCTTGCGCCGCCACCAACACGGCAACACGGCCGGACCCTTTTTCTTCTCTCTCGTCTCTCCCGTTCCCGTGGTATGGCCGACGCGTTAGCATGCTTCGTTTGCTTGCCCCTGTTTCGCTCAGTTACCCTTTTGTTCGAACGGCGAGAACACTGCCGGTATACCTCCGCCGCAACCCTCGAGGGCCTTGGGGCGAAAATGACGGGCAGGGCATCCTATGTGCCGAAAATTGCTGTCTGAGAACGACAGTCGACAGAGAAGGTGCCGTCTGGCTATTACATTAAGCAAACCCATTCTTACAAACTCGCTGATTTTTTTCTACCTATATACCCCCTTCGTCCATGAAAAAATACAATTCTCGCTTTTTGAGAGATCAAACAGTTTGAACTTTGACTAAATTTATATAAAAAACAATAACATTTATGGTACAAAATAAGTATTATTAGATTAGTTATATGATATATTTCCATAACAAATTTATTTAGAGGCATAAATATTAATACTATTTACTATAAACTTAGTTAAACTCGAGTCAGTTTGACTAGTACGTATCCATAATTGCATTCTTTTGCGGACGAAGGGAGTACTATACATCTTTATATTGGGCCGTATTGTATGCTGGGCTGCATCGTAATCGACAACACGGCCTGCGTGACACCGTGGATCAGGAAGCCTGCTATTGTATTGGGCCCAATCCACCCGCAAAATCCAACGGATTCAAAAACTCACGCGCTGCCCTCTGTGACAAATGACAATTGCCTCCCTTAATCACTTCCACGCGGGCCCCACCACATCCCATAATCCCCGATTCCCCTTCCCCTCCAACGGCCAACGGCTGCTCCCCTCACACCAATCCCCACTCCCCTCCTTCCGTGTTCCGTCACTCCCCACCCCGGCAACTCCAATCCCAAACGGCCAAACCCTAGCTGCTCTGGTGGCATCGGCCGGCGCTCGGCGATGCCTGCCACCGCCTTCGCCTTGGCCTCCGTCGCCGCGTCGCCGTCTCCGTGGTCGCCACGTCCGCCTGCCCCGCCGAGAAGCGGAAGCAGCGCGGGCGGGGGCGGGGCGACGAGCCCTCCACCGCCACCCCGTGGGCGAGCCCCGACTGGCTCACGTCTCTCGCGCGCGGTCGGCCGGAGCCGGAGCGGCGGCGGCGACGACTCGGGGATCCCCGTCGCGTCCGCCAAGCTCGACGACGTGCGGGACCTCCTCGGCGGCGCGCTCTTCCTGCCGCTCTTCAAGTGGTTCCGCGAGGAAGGGCCCGTGTACCGCCTCGCCGCGGGGCCACAGGACTTCGTCATCGTTAGCGACCCCGCCGTCGCCAGGCACGTGCTGCGCGGCTACGGCTCGCGCTACGCGAAGGGGCTAGTCGCTGAAGTCTCCGAGTTCCTCTTCGGCTCCGGCTTCGCCATCGCGGAGGGCGACCTATGGACGGTGCGTTCTCTGTCTCTCTTGCCACTAGTGTTATTGTTTAGCGAATGGAATGGCCTATCACAGTCGTAAGGCTCTGTAACGGGCTGGAACAATTGTATGTCAGTAGACCTGTTCATAGTTTGGATTGACCAGCTAAACGGCACCCAAACCAAACCAGACCAGCAGAAACGAGGTTACTTGGTTTAACTTACCTGCAGGTTGAACCAGCATGATTTATAAACGGTTTAGGTTGAAGACGGGTCATTTCAATTTGCGCCATTGGGAGTGGTTGCGGAGAGCCGCCGGAGAGGGTAGTCAGTTCCTCATGATGTTCAATAATGTAAAGGGCTGGCTGACATATATTTGATAAATGGTAGTAGTAGTGCAATAAATTAGTAGGGTTGTATCTCTTCTCTTGCTGCAGCTATATCTTGCATATTTATGCACCATTGTAGTTGGAGCTAAATTTAATTGGACTGTAAGTTAATCCTTAATCTCACTCCAAAGCTGGTATGTTTTTTTTAGGTGAGACGCAGAGCTGTTGTGCCTTCCCTGCACAAAAGATTTCTGTCCATTATCGTGGAAAAGGTATTTTGTAAATGTGCTGAGAGATTAATAGAGAAACTTGAGCCATATGCTTTGAGTGGGGAAGCTGTCAATATGGAAGCGAGGTTTTCTCAGTTGACATTGGATGTGATTGGTTTGTCATTGTTCAACTACAATTTTGATTCCCTCACAACAGATAGTCCTGTCATTGATGCTGTTTATACTGCACTCAAAGAAGCAGAGCTTCGTTCTACAGATCTTTTGCCATACTGGAAGGTTGGCTCATCTTTCACTTCATTCTTCTAACTTTTAATCTCACCTATGTTTCCTAGTTCATTGGCCCGAAAGGAAAAATCACTTGACTGATGTTTGATATGATCCTTGTTTATTTGTCACAGATTGATTTCTTGTGCAAGATAATTCCAAGACAGATAAAAGCAGAGAATGCAGTTAGGATTATAAGAAACACTGTTGAAGAGCTGATTATGAAGTGTAAAGAAATAGTGGAAGCTGAAAATGAACAGATTGAGGGTGAGGAATATGTAAATGAGGGGGACCCTAGCATTCTACGCTTCCTACTTGCTAGCCGAGATGAGGTGATTAACGCATTCCATTTTTTTACAATATTTTGCTTCTTTTACCTTTAATTTCCACAATTTCTACTTATATGAAGCTACTTGCTCATCATGAAAATAATTTGACATCTACTGCTGTTGATGCTCCATAACATTTGCCTGATGATGCCTTTGATTATTGATTTATCCTTCTGCTGGTCCATGAAAATTTAAAACCATGGATTTGTTTGCCCAGCTCATAAATGTTGCTTTATTAGCTCTGTTGCCTTGCCCGGAGGGACAATTATTGGTTGGGCATGCAGTTTGTAACCTGGTGTCATTCAGCTTCAAATATCTTTAGGAAAAAGGATTTGTTTAGCATAGAACATATTACTGCATACATCTAAATGAAAAACAGTGCAGCTTTAGTGTATCACCTTTCCCCCCCTCTGAATGTGCACTTAAAGTCTATATCTTCTGTTTCTTTCTATAAGTTTAGATGATGAGGCTTTACCTACTAGAAGCGGCACATTATGCTTGTGTGTAAAGGTGATTGCTAGGAGTATTTGGTCCTTTCTTTTCCATTGATTTATGAAAAGTTATGACAAAAGACTGAAAAATTCTATAAAAAATCATATCTCTGTTCTTGTTTTTTTCCCTCTAACACGCAAAAGATTTGCATATCATTTCACTACTAAGAGAGAAGATTATGTTCCTTGTGAGTCATGTTCTATGCCAAGTTTTGCTGAAGTTCGACAACGCAAGATCTTTTTGTGCTTCTGTTGCTAAACTTCTCATGCTCGGTTTGCGTGCAGTTTCATATAGTGCTCCATTTCACCATTTTACACGACACGCATGTTGTTTATTGCAAGTTTGACTGCTTTAGTTGACATGCCTTTGGGTTCTCCAGGTAAGCAGTGTACAATTACGTGATGATCTCTTGTCAATGTTAGTTGCTGGTCATGAAACAACAGGCTCTGTACTGACATGGACAATCTATCTTCTCAGTAAGGTACTCCTGTAGTGCTATATTCCTTGCAGTAACCATCTATCAACCAAAGTGACAAATAATGCATTACTTAAAATGTCACTTTAATATGTTGACTGCTCAGTGTTACACTACTGAAGGATCCGGCTGCACTGAGGAGAGCTCAAGATGAAGTAGATCGTGTTCTACAAGGTAGACTCCCAAATATGAGGATGTAAAGGAGCTGAAATACTTGATGCGCTGTATAATGAGTCTATGCGGCTGTATCCACCCTCCTGTAACGCTTTCTTGTGCTAGTGACAAGCAACTTTATAATTGGTTTTGGTGACTCATGGACTAATTACTGATAGGTGCTGTTACAGTGCAATAGTTGATGATGTTCTTCCTGGAGACTATAAGGTTAAGGCTGGTCAAGATATTATGATATCTGTGTACAATATACACAGGTCCCCAGAGGTACTTCTCCATCTGAATATGAATCACACACAATTGGCAGTATTTGAGGTCTTTAAAGTAAATGCTTTGCATCGTGGAATATTGAATATACATGTCTGATTTTGTGAATTATAACGGAGGATCTTATTCCAAGTTGCTGTAGGCTTACTAAGAAAATTACAAGGTATCGTTTATTAGTCTATCTGTTAGGTCTTGATGCAACCTGCTTTTCCATGATATAATGATAAGATGGTTTCATGAACATTATTTTATTGCATTGAGTATACTAGTTTGCTGTCATATATGCCCTAAAAGCCTGAACTTAGAAGTATAATTATATTACGTAGTTATCATCCTTTGCTACCATTTGAAGCATGCTTTGCTATGCCTATGCTTTTGTTATGCTGGAGCTGTGCTCTGCTCATATGGTGTTTTCATCCATTAGTAGCAATGTCTATGCAAGCACTTAGCAGATTTTTGCATTCTACAATTAATTGTTTGTTCCTTCTACAAAGGTCTGGGATAGAGCAGATGAGTTCATTCCAGAGAGGTTTGATTTAGAGGGACCTGTTCCAAATGAGTCAAACACAGATTTCAGGTCAGAATACAACTTTGTGATATATCGTTTCTATCCTGTCACTTCATATTTCCATTAAGCATCTGATTAGCTTTTGTTAACCGGCAAATGTGACTGAGCTGCGCCATGCTCCTGCTACATCTTTTTCCCAGGTTTATCCCATTCAGTGGAGGTCCTCGGAAATGTGTTGGAGATCAATTTGCTCTCCTAGAAGCGATAGTGGCACTTGCAGTTGTGTTGCAGAAGATGGATATTCAGCTTGTGCCAGATCAAAAGATTAACATGACTACTGGAGCTACAATTCATACAACCAATGTAAGGAAACATGCTATGCATATTTTCTACAATACTCTTGTTTTTTTCATAATCTAGTTGATATCAATTGGAGTTCAATAAAGAATTGTAGCAAAAGCTGTACTACTTAAGGGCACATTAGGAGGAAAGTGAAAAGGAAGAGGCCAAAGTTCCTGATGTTTTCTCTATGAAAATTGATTCAGTTTTGAAAGCTCGAAAGTGTAGCCAAGTTATACTCTTGAGTTTCAATCATTTTTTCCCCAAGAAAGTAGAAAGAGCCAAACTCTTCCTAATGTTAAAGCGCAATCAGTTTCTTTGTCCATCGACCGTCCGCTTTTTTTTTTCCGTTCCGCCCGCTCACCCTGTTGTCTGTCTGTTTTTTTTCTGTTCCGCCTGCCCCCATCACCCAGTCCGCTTTTTTTTTTTTTTTTTTTCTGTTTTGAGTACCTCATTCTGATTTCTTAAGTTTTTCCATAAATATAAAAAACAAAGAATAAATGCACTATCATAGGCCTCTGAACGCCTCGCCCTTCCCTATGAAACAAAGGTTCCCAGTACCATGTCATCTTGCCCCATTGTCCATCCGCATTTTTTAATGTTCCCCTCAACCTTGTCACCCATCTGCCTTTTTTGGTTTCTTTTTTGTTCCAAGTGCCTCCCATGCCAATTTCTTTTTTTTTTCCATAAATGTCATAACAAAGAATAAAACATCATGGGCCTTTGAACCCTTGACCATTCTCTAATTACTAAGAAACAAGATTCTCTACAAGTTGTTGATGCAGTTTTGATTTGATTAGGACAAAACTTATCTTATTAGAACCTGGTTAGCCGATGGTCCAACTAATGAAACCGTCAACTGAAATCTTGAGTAGTATGTTGTCCAGTCTAAATAAATGTGCCTTCAAGCCGTATGCATATACTAGTGCAATCCTTGACACGTCACATGGAAAATCAAGAGAGGTCTCCCATTGTAATCACTAGCGGACAGATGACACGTCGACAACTAACTCCTTGCTGACTTTAATTAGAAATTAAAATTAAAGATTTGTATAGGTCCTCAAAGGAAGTCGCGGAACTAGATACTTAACTGTACTATAATGCATGGGTAGTATGAAAATTAAAGTTATGAGGATATTTAGGAGTAAATATTTCTATGTTTTGCAACGGGAGAAAAAAATCCATCATGGTTTATTGATACATGTTTAATAAGACATTGTGGATGCCATAGTCATCATCAAATAGATTAGCTTTAATTGTTTTTGTCTTTTAGAAAAGATAAAACATAAATATACATGTAGCATTCCTGTCTCGTTTCCCAATGTTGGATAGCTTTTTTTTATTTAAATTATGTAACACATGGACATGTTTGATAAAAAAAGCCCCTCATTTCATTTCGGGTCTATTCTAGCCCAAACTTCTATTTCAAGTTTGATAGCATATCTGAATGGTTTCTTAAGATGAGTTTATTGCTGCAGGGACTATATATGAATGTAAGCCTGCGTAAAGTTCAGCAAGCTGAGTTTGTACTGAGGTAAGTTCTTAATGCTGATTTGCTCAATACTTTTTTTTACAAACCGATACAGAACTGCAGTTGGCTCCCCTAAAAAAAAGGCTATAGAATCTTATATTTTCCCTCTAGTTCTGTCACAAAGATATTTTTAGCATGAATTTCATTGCTAATTTTGCAATCAGGTTTTGAAAGGGCACAGGATGTGTTCTCTTTATCTTATTATTATTACTTACTTGTACCCAGAACAGTAGAACACGGGAAGCTTATGTTGTTTTTCTTCTCCACTTAAGTTTCAGCAAAACTTTGACTGTTTTCTTTCTTTCAGCGAATCAAAATAGATGGAAACGACTTCAAACCAGAATAGAGAACACCTGCACTGGCTACAGAATTGTCAAGATGTGAAAATGCTTCTCCAGTTTCTCGTTGAATGCTCTACAGTACCATACTAGATGTCACTGCGTCGGCGTACAGATTTTACAGATTCGCTTCCCTTGAAACTTGAAAGAAAGGAACTTTTGCTTACTGATACGTTCGGCTATTCGTGAGCGTAAAACTTAGGTCCTGGTGGTAATCCAAGGCCGAACGGATTCATATTCATATATTCGTTAGCGGCACAATATGGTATTGGAGAAAAAATGTAGTCTGGTTTTTCTCGGTATAAGTTCTGACTTAGGGCGTGTTTGTTTACCCCCTGCTAAAGTTTAGCTAGTAAACCAGTTGTCCAGTTGCGTAACCAACCTATCCAGAATCCACCGGATTTTAGTTGACGTGGTCCGGTCCCACATGTTATAGTGGGTCTCGTTCCTCCGATTTATCTCTCGTTCTACTCCATAACGAGCCATAGCGATTGCTAGGATGGGCAGGGACGGCGGGTGGAGGGATCACCTAGAGGCCGTCGGGTTCTTTAGTCATAGACGAGGGCGGGGAGCTCTTGGTAGTGATGGACGAGGTGCCCGGGGACGCGAGGCTCAGGGCGACCGTGCTCCTGCTGGAAAGGGCGCGCCCATCGGCGCAGCCAACCGAGCCTGTAGCACACCAGACCAGCCCGCGGCGCCCAAATCGGCGGGAAAGCCGAAGAGGGTGGCGCCCCTCGGGCTCCTTGGCGTGTAGGTGTAGTGCGGCCTCCTCGGCACCGGCGACGACGGCAACCCGAGACTCCGGCGCAAGAGCAGGCGCAGCTCCACAAGGAGGTCGTCGGGGCTGCCTGGGCCCGCGGGCGACGGTGGCGCGGACGCCCGACGGGAGACGCCCGCGTGGGAGATGGGCGGGGACGCGCGTTTCGTCCTGGCCCCCCGATTTTGGCGCCGGCCGTCGTTGGGGCAATAACCTCTGCATAAGTGGTTGACTAGTTGCTATTCTTATGAAAAAAATGGCTGCTATGGGCAGCAGAGAGAAAAACTGGCTTCTTCATCAGAAGCATAATAATCGGTTCTAAACAGGGGCATCGCAATTCGTCACGTAGGAGAGAGAGACAGAGGTGTTTCTTATTTGAGCTGTCAACTAAAGACTAGTGGAATTCGCTCGCCTAGGCACACTCCAGTGAAGCAGAGGAGCTGTGTCAGCTTGTCAATGCGCAGCGCACGAAACCGGCCAACGGAAGCTATCAAGCATGTTATAAAAAAAAAAAAAAAACGGAAGCTATCAAGCACGAGCTCGTGCGGCCGTGTAACGTCACTGTCCATTCGTGAGATGGCAATGGCATGGATAGAAGGTGACATTTCTGGATAGAAGGTGACATTTCCTTGGCGTGGGCCCCGGGGCCGGGGCGCGCCGCTGTCTGGACTGCGTTGCCTAGCCCCGCCGTGACAGCTTCGGGAGGCCGTATCGTATTGTGGATTATTTATTACTGGTTGGTTTGGTGTGAGAGAAAAACACTGTTACAGACTGAAAATTTACGATCGTTTACGAGCAAGCGAACAGGCCGTCACACTGGAGGATAACTACGGGCTACGGCCGTGGCACACTGCAAATTTTTGGTTAACACCTTCTAACATCGGCCTAACCACTTTGAAAGCACATCATTTGAGAGCCCAAAAGTACGTCGCCACTCGCCACGCCACTGGTTGAAACACCCGTTTTCTTTCACATGCAAAGTTACACCTACAACGACATGCCACGGCTGCACACGCCTGGTTGGTTCGTGACTAACGTGCCATGCCTCATGTTAGTCATGTCAGTTTTTCGGGTAGCTGTTTGGTTTGCTGTTATAGTTATGGCTGCCACACTTTCTTAGCATACTGTCCCACACGTCATAGATTTATTTTCTTGCCAAACTTTATCACAATTATGGCTTCAATTTTCTTCGTCGAACTTTCTCTGACAGCCTTGGCGTGGCAAACTAACGCACAGGCAATGTGCCCGCCCACAAACATGCGACGCGCGAGGCGCGAGGCTAAGCCGGCATTCAGCTACAAACATGCGACGCACGGCATGACCCGACCCGGGCAAAACTCCCGCTGCCCTACTATACCCTCGCCACGACGCCCGCCCACAAACGCAGAGCAGCCTGTCAGGGCATGGCTGCCACGGCGCGCGCGAGTAGGCGCCTGGCCCCGGGCGACGCGCGCGCCACGCCGGCGGTCGGCCCCGCGTCGTCCGGCTCCGGCTCGGGCTCCGGAGGCGGGCGGGCGCAGGAGTTCATTCAACCTGTCCTCGGGCGCGGCCACGGCCGTGGTGTTCGTCTCCATCCTGCTCTGCTTCATCCTCCTCTGCACCTACTGCCGCTGCGCGCGGCAGCGGGCCGTCGCGGGGGCGCGCCGCCGCGTCATGCGCGACCTCGTCCCGGGCGTGGCGCTCTTCCTCCGCCCCACCGCGGCCGCGCTGCCGCCCGTGGTGCCGTACGCCGCGGCCGCCGGAGCCGCCAA